AACTCACCTAATAATTTTGAGTGATTTCGTCATACTGTAGCTCTGGAGTTTACATATTTTTTCATTCATATCAGATTTACTGTTGAAATCAGAAGAGAATACTAGCATTATACTCTTACTATTTCTGCCTATGCTATTGTTAATATGCTATTTGGAAAGGCATACTATGCTAATATGCTATTCAGTGTAGTGTAGCATACTTTTTCTGTCATATCTTTAAATGGCAGAAATAGTAAGAGTAGAACGCTATCGTGATCTGTTTGTCTGACCAACGGCAATCTGTTTTTTGTTTGTTTTGTTTTTTAAACTACTTTTAAACTACATCATCACTAAAACAGCTTTAAACGTTGCATTCAATTAACCTTCCTCAGGCTATAAAATTGTTGTGATAATGCAAGTTTTAATACTTTTGTCATTCTGTGTTGGTTATGCTATTGCTGAAATGACATCAGGTGCATTAATTATTCAGTAAAAACCTGTTTATTATTTGATCTACACTGCAAAAAAAAAAAAAAAACTAATCCTGATCTAATCTTCTAGTTGAAAAATGTCCTTAAATTTACTTCCTAAGCGACATTGTTAAAATTATTAAGACTAGTTTTCAGAGAAAGCAATTTGGATAAAGTGTTTTTAAGCTGATTTTAAGATATAAATACATGCGGGGGGAAAAAATCCAGTGCGGTAAGTCTTACAGTTATTGTGCAGTGATACTTCTTAGGTAAATGTATCTTATTTTAAGTTTTTATATATATATTTTTAAGAAGTTTTAGATATATTTATACTGAAATTTAATCCCATTTAGAAGTCATTTTTTGCATTGTGTAAAGTGTGGCTACTTGTTTAGGTGTATGAATGTCTGCATTGCTAAAAAAATTAAATGAAAAAAAAATGACCACGTTTACCAGCATTACAAGGCCATTAAGCTGGAAGACATGATGAAACTTTACACAGACAAGGTCTGTAATTTCATGCCAAAACATATAATGTTTAAATCTTCTGGCTATACTTTTGAAACAGTGTATATTAATGGTTTTGGAATGTCTCAATGTTATTCCATTGTATGACACCACAATGAATCTCATTTCTGTGTATTAATTTTTCTCCTCACAGCACTAAATAAGCATGTCCTCTCTCCTCCAGGCTCCCTCAAGGCATATTCTTTAATTATGTTAATTAATTCATGTTCTGCCCAAAGTACATGGAGTCCTCACTCACAATTACCCACAAAAAGCCAGCATTTCAATCTTTAAAGGGCTACAGCTCAGAAACTCTTTCGTGTGAAGAAGTTATAGGGCCAAAAGATTCACTGAGGTGGGGGAAGGGCTTGATAGTATAAAGTTGTGAGGCCTGGACAATCCCCTCCCTAATTCCCAGTGAGTAATGCACCTCCTGAGCACTGCTGTTACATCACCTCTTATTCAGTCCTGTAACTGAAATTCCAGGGATTAGCTGGTGTTAATACAGCATTATGACTAGGCCCTGATCGGACAAAAACACTTTCCAGAGATTTCCCCCTTACCATTATCTAGTCCTAAACTCCTATCCCATATCCAATCCAGTTTTAAATATAGTGTACATGTACCGTGTTCAGTATTTATGTGGGGCGCACAGCGGGCAAAGAAGGATTTCTGAAATTGAACTTTCAGCCTAATTGTGAGGCTAGATTATTTCAGCGATAATGTGCAGTGCTGCATTCTCTGCAGACCGGGATTAACAGAGATTACACATGCACATTTTCACAAAGGCAGCGTCTGAATGCTCAACGCTCATTTAGCCGACGAAGGAAGTTTTATAGAATTGCTTATGAAAGAAGAAATCATTTTGTTGGTCCTCGGGAGAGTCTTAGACATCCCCCACTATTAAATCTCCTCCTTGCGTCCCTCCCCCAGGTTTTTCGGGAACCGGAGAATGAAGAGTTCTGACGCATTTGGAAGGACACCTGTCTCCCGTGCAGCACAGCGATTCGCTAGGCAGGCCGCTGGCCTGTCTTGGCAGTGAACGCTAGTGAGAGAAGCACAGATAATTACAAACTCCAGGGAGGCCGTAGGACCAACCTGTTCCTCCAGTCTGATCCAGCAGGTCCTTGCGGCCAACACCACCCTTTTTCAAGACCCCCTCCGACCCCCCTACCATCAGGCACACCACATAATGATATGGTCATCACACAAAGGAGATGGTGCCCCTCGGCTCTCTCAACAAGCGTACCTTATAATCCAGTCCGTGGAGTTTATTCATGACTTTGTATTGTGCAGCCAGGATGTTGTTGACACAGCTAAAACATCATATTGTAGATCTGATGCATATTTGAGAAATCATTTAATTATGATACAAAGGCTCTGTTCCAAAACTAGTGATCTACCTTGCTTCTTAGGCAGCATTCTGATTGAAATGAAACTACATAGATAGTTACAACTACATACATCTACATAGGCAGCCCAATGAGTTATACAAATAGCTCTATCAATTTGACTAACAACTGATAGAGTTTTATTCCTGTGATGCAAAGCTGAATTTTCAGTCTCACTACTTCAGTCTTCAGTGTCACATGATCCTTCAGAAATCATTCTGTTATGCTGATTTGGTGCTCAAGACACATTTATTATTATTATCAATGTTGAAAACATTAGGTTTATTTTAAATATTAAAAGTAATATTGGTAACGCTTTAGATTACAGCCCCGAAAATACTGCGTAATTAAAGCGATTTAACAGCGTAACCTTCGGTAATTATAGTGTACCTATAACGTACTCACAATATAAGTATAAGGGAACGATAATATTTTAAGTTTGGGGAATAAAGGGGTAACAACCAGGAGAATTAAACAATTATTTATACTGTAAGTATTAAAGAACTAAAGGTTTACCATTTACCATATAACAATCTTACATTTGGGAGCAATTTAGCAAGAACATACACTGCGTACCTTTTTGAAATAATGGTGAACCAGTACATACTGTAAAATTACAGGCTTTTTAAACATTACAGGGTACATATCTATGCATTTATAAAGTAATCTTTTTAACAAAAGTGCACTGAAAACGAAAACTATTGCAACTTTTGCTTAAATATTGGGGAAAGATACTCTTGTTTCATGTAGTGGTGCTTGTTACCCCCTTGTTCCATGTAGTTACAGGGTAAGTGTGACATTGCGGGCCGTAAATTAAAGTAGTGCTTGTTACCCTCTGGTTCCATGTAGTTACAGGGTAAGTACAATAAAAAAGCATACACAGTTTTATATCACTGACTCGGAAACCTTTATTTATTATACAAGCACCACTTACCCTGTAACCACATCAAACAAGATATATTTCCCAGTATTTAAAAAAATTGCAATAGTCTTAGCTTTTCTTGACTTGAAACATGTTAGCCCAAACTTAAAGATCTGCACTTTTGCAATCAAAAAAATGTATAAATGCCTATATATGTACCCTGTCATTTTTAAAAAGCCTTTTATTACAAAAAGCTACGCAGTGTATGTTCTCGCTAAATTGCTCCCAAATGTAAGATTGTTGTATCATATAGTAGAATAAGTACCCCTTAGTTCTATAATACTTATAGTATAAATATTTTTTGATTCTCCTGGTTGTTACCCCTTTATTCCCCAAACTTTACATATTGTTTCCTTATACTTACATGCAAGTACTTTATAGGTACACTATAATTACAGAAATTTACACTGTAAATTCCTCTTAATTACACAGTACATTCCGGGCAGTAATCTGCGTTACCGTAATATTTTAGGTAACACTTTATTTGAAGGTGACATGGTAATAACAGTAAATTATGCATAATTACAAGAAACTAACACTAAACCAAACTCTAACCGTAACTATAGTAAGTACATGAAGTTAATATTACTCGGTACTTATTTGAGTAAGTGCAATGTAACTGTCGCCTTAAAATAAAGTGTAACTATATTTTATTAATATGTTCATATTTTGTGAAAATTTTCAGGATTCTTTGATGAATAGAAAGTCCAAAAGAACAGCATTTATTTGAAATAGATTTTTTTTCGAACAATGTAAAAGTTTTGACCAATTTAATGCATCCTTGCTAATAATATAAAAAAAAACGTATTATTTTCTTTTAAAAAAATCATAAAAAGTAGTAGTGTACACAGCACACAAAATATTGTGGGTAAAATGGTTCTTGTAAGTATTTGTGTAAAAAAAGGCCCAGATTTACTAGTGAATTATTTGTTATTTAGAGGTGAATTGTGTGTTTAACTCAATTTTCAGATTTGTTGTATTAGTAAACTTTCTAGCTTATCACATTGGTAAACTTTCTAGGCTATTATATTGGTAAACTTTTAAGTCTATTGAATAGGTAGATTTTCTAGTCTACTGTATTAGTCCGCTTTCTAGTTTGTTCCATTATTGACTCCTTGTACAAAAGGAGGATCCAACGTGTTCCACCGGATTGCTGCGTGACTTGCTGCGAGACTGGAGCGAGGAACCGCTCATGGGATACTTCATAGCTCTGTTTAATTTGTTTGTTTTAATCTTCATAGGACTCTAAGATCTGAGTAAGACTACACTGCTCAATATATGAGAACTTTTGATAACGATTCTTAGTTTGAGACGTCACTGTTCTAACCAGACAAAGCTCCAAGCTCTTCAACCCACCTGAACCAGAATAGAAAAAGTTTCTACTTCAGAAGTTTTTTACAATTTCTTATACAATCTTATACGGTGCCATAATTATGCCACCTACATCTTAAAGAGCGCACTTAAAATGCTACACTCACTAAGTTCAGGAACAGAGTAATTGTGTCCAATCCATTACCGAGTTGAGCAGTCTTTATTCAATAAATGTCAGCAAACACAATAAAATGTAAAATGAAGCAAATGTTGACCCGGTTAATGTTTGCATGTCATAAATGTACGTCATAAAATTCAGTGAGGCTCCAAGATAAAATAATTCTAAAATGCCTAATGCTTGATATGTGATATTTTTTCAGTGTCTGGTGCATGTTCAACTGTTCTGATGTGTGAACGTACCGCTGAGGATCTCTTTAAGGCTTTTGAACCAAGTCTCACAGTGGTCCACGCTCAGGTTGTTGAAGTGGATGGCATGGTCCTTTAGTTTGAGCCCTTTCTTCTTGCACTGAAAGAGTGTGATGCCCAGCAGAGTTCCACCCGTCTGCTGCCCGACAGAGCGTCTCCGCTTCACCTTCACAGCAAACACATCCTTTAGCTCCACACACTCCTCCTGCTTCTTCACATCACGGTCAGCTAAAGCAAACACACAAAATACATTGATGTCATTTTTTCACCTCCTCTTGTAATGTGTGTTTTTTTTTTAAATGCCAAAACATAATAGTTTTTTTTTATCATATCATTTGACCCCACAGTAATAAAATGTATTGTTTAATTGAAAGACTAAGATGTAAAGGCCAGTGTGACTGTGAATTGAGGTTCATTACTTTTCTGCACTTAATTAAATGCTGTGGATTTGCATTCATAGTACAAAATGACTTGCAGCTCATTTTGTATGTTGATTTGTGTGTTTTTTTTCTTTCTTTTGATTACAAAGAAACTGCACTTGGAAATTAAAAGAATTTAAAGGGATAGTTCTCCCAAAATATGAAAATTCTGTCATCATTTACCCACTCTTTTGTAGTTCCAAACCTATGGAGCCCCACAAAAACTTTTGCGTTCCCCTGAGAAACTTTGGGGGGAAACCCAAATTTTCTTACGGAAACGCAAAAATTTTGCGAGAGAACGCAAAAGAATTGACTTTTTATTTTTCTTCCCATCTCGTTTTTTTTTTCTTCTGACCACCATTGTCCCTTTAGGGGCTCCATACAAACCTGTATAAAATTACCTGTATAAAACCATTCAAAATTTGGGTGGTCTGTAAGATTTTCGAAATTAGTCTCTCATGCTCACCAATTAAGGCTGCATTTATTTGATAAAAAATACAGTGAAACATTATACAATACAGTAATATTGTGAAATATCATTAAAATTTTAAATAAACGTTTTCTATTTTAATTTCTATTCCGTTTTCTATTTCTATTTTATTTATCATTCTAATATGCTGATTTGGTGCTCAAGAAACATTTCTTATTATCAATGTTGAAAACAGTTGAGCTGCTTAATATTTAGAAACCATGCTATCCTTTTTCAGGATTCTCTGATGAACAGCATTTATTTAAAATAGAATCTTCTGTAACAATGTAAAACCCTTTAATGTCACTTTTTTATCAATTTATTGTGTCCTTTTCTTGCTGAATTAAAGTATTCATTTCGTTCAACAACAACAACAAAAATCTTACTGACCCTAAACTTCTGAACTGTTTTTGCCCATAGTATAAAAGTCAATGGGGCCCAAAACAATAGCAGGACCCTTTGACATTCATTGTATGGATAAACATATGTTTAAATTTAAAATATATATATATATATATAATTTTTTTGTGTTTTACAGAACAGGAATTGCATACAAATTTGGAACAACATAATGACGATTAAATGAGAATATTTTTTTTTTAACTGTCCCTTCTATGAGAACTAAAACAAACAACGAAATGAAGTTTTAATGGGTGAGAATTCAGACTTTTAACAGCGCTGCACTTGATACCCCAGCGTTACGATGGGCTGTGAGTTTCCTGTTCTCTCCTGACCCCCCGCTGTAAATGATTACCCACAGGCAAACTCCAATTAAACCGCACTGAAATCTGTCGCAGAGCCTTAAGATGGACCGAGTTCTGTAGCTGTCTCTCTCCTCGTGTGAAAGCTTTTCTTCATTAGGAGCACCCCGAGCCGCACCTCCACGTTTCAGAACATTAACTACCCTCTCACATTACTGCGCAAGACACCAGCCGCCATCTGTTCCTACTCGGGCTTCTGCTCGAACCTCTCTATACCTACCCCACTCTATTTATTTAACACTGGAGCTTCGTTTCATTGTGGTCACTCTACAAAACCCCGAGTCAATTGAATTAGTGGGAATAGGAGATAATCTCTCCCGGCAGAGCTTTCCTTGAGCCAGGGCAAATGACAAAGTGACAAAGTGGCCCGTGTTAACGGCTGTGTACAGGAACCTGCCTCCGAGAGAGCGAGGGACGGTCCTGAAGGGTGTAGAGGGAGAACGGGACGAGGCCGAAAGGGGGGGGACTTCTCCTCTGCTCCATTACAGTAAGCCGGTGCCCTGTCTGAATCAATCTTGGCACATCTGCGTGATGCCGACCGTAAACAGGATTAAAGAAGGACTTATCTGCTTGATGCTAATTGTGTTGCAGTTTTTGCACATGTCCACCCTTTTTAATAAAGAGACTCCAAATGCTGCTGTTCAACTGCCCTTTTCAGGCCAGGGTTGTCAGCATGTGCACAGCGCTAGTCGGGTTGGTCTGGGCTCTGATGTTCTAAGGCTTTGGCAATAGGACCCAATTAGTCCCCCCCAATTAAGAGAAGGAAAATTGAGTTTAAATGAGCTGCCCGCTAAGTAGAAGCAATGAGATGTAGATTGAGATATACTCCTGGTAAAGCATGAGACTGACTAGCGTTTCCTGCTGATCTGCTCTAAAACAGGCCACACAATTGGAACTTTACTTTTTGCTAATACTGTGCTGTCTCTATTTTTGGGAGACCATAAATTCTTGCTTACACAAACTTTTTTTTTTTCTTATCTCTATTGTATTTTAGCCACTTTACAGCTCCACACTTGCTAATCTATTTTTAAGGGAATAATGATGCAACTTTAACAACTGCATTAAAATTGGCAGCAAAATTAATCTCTTGACGTGGCTTTGCTGATGCAATTAGAAAGCTAACGCAAGTATTAGAAAGCTGACGTAAGTTAAAAGTATGCTAGAAAGAAAAAAAATAATTTAGAAAACTATCAAGGTCATTTGCTCATGACTGATTTTTCCAGTTTCTTTTTGCGATGAGAACAGGAAGCGTCATAAGGTTAAGCAATAAAAGCCACTGTTTTATTCCATTTTTTTAATTTATTTTTTATTGTGGTCATATTCCAATTATGTATGCATCATGTGAAGGTGGTTACTTGACTGCCATAATCCAAATAAGACTATATTCTAGTTACAAGATTGCTGAACAAGACAGCTGGGATATGCCTGTATTAGGAATGTTGAGTCACGTAACACCTTATTCCGAAAATCCATTACTGGAATATGCAAGTTGGTATGTGATACATATACATACATACATACATGTATACATACAGTTGTATTAAGTCTAGAAATTGAGGATTGAGAAGATTTTTTCACGAAAATAAACAGAAATACATATGCAATGTATTTCTGCTTATTTAGCACTCTTTGGTTTTAGATGTCATTGGCTGAAAAAATTTATCACAGTTTCCCCAAAAATATTAAGCAGCACGTAACTATTTTCATCAATGATAATAATAAGAAATGTATTAGGCCTATATACAGTTCTCAAAAGTTCTCATCTTATGTTCCAGGGGAAAAAGTAATTTTGAACAACATGAGGGTGAGTAAATGATGACAGAATTTTAACTTTTGGGTGAACTAACCCTTTAATTTGAAAATGTGGTCTCCATGTAAATGTGATTACCTGTGGAATACACACTTATACTAACAAGTTCATACAGTATATAACCAAAGTGATTGCATATTGCAGCAGTTAAAAAAGCAAAACACACCTTTAAGATGCATAGACGGAATATGTAGATTTCTTGTAAAAGCCGTCACACCTCTTTTGTGTGATCTAAAAGGGATTTGAGAGTAATCCATGCAAAAAAACGCAAAGCTGGGGTTAGAGAAGGGGGTTGAAGAAGATTTTTTGCCGCTGGTGCCTCTGCTGCAGGGCACACAAGTTCACAAATAAGAAGGGCCATATGTTCAGGGTCATTGGTCTAAAGGGGCTGCAAAGGGCCAAATCAATATGACACGTCTGGTAACACGCGAGGTCATATAACACGGAGCCCTCCTGAAGACTGACTATGGATCTGTCGTCTCCGGAGAGCTCATCTCTCTTATTGACAATTACATGCGTCTCTGTGTGTAGACACCACTCACAGCGCAGCGATGACACACACACGCGCACATGCTATCATCACTGGATGCCGATTCATGTTTTCTGGATTACATAAAATCAGGCTTGATGAAATTAAATTCAGTACAGTAGAGTCGGGCGAGTTGTTGCAGTTGCTCAATTTTTTCCTAAAAAATGTGTCTGTATGTGTATATATATATACACATATAGAAATGGTGCTCGTCTATGCAACAGTGAAATGGTTTAGCATTTGTGGTTTTCTGTGTTGTTGCTAGGGCATTGCATGGTGATTACTGGCCCAAATAGAAATGTTGTCCTCAACAAGCCGCAGGATTTGAGGTATTATTCATGTCCATAGCACAAATGATGCAGAATGAGTTGTGCGTCAAAGTTTAATACCTTACAATAGGAGTTTGTTCAAATCACTAAGCCAAAGTATGATAAATTGTAGTAGTGATGCCTGTCTTAGCAAAAATTAACTTAAATGCCTAAATTGAAGTTGCATACAAGTTTTTTATTGAGCATTACATTTGTACAGGTTCTCCCTTTTGTTTTAATTTTTCACATGTATAACAAAAAATATTTAAAAATGATTTTAAACGAGCTCTTTATGTTAGGAATTGCTGGTTGTCATAAAAGCTACATATATGCTAGGAAATTAGTTAATTAGTTTGAAAATAGCAATTCTGTTGAACCTCACAAGGCAGGGAACAAAGCAGGGAATGACGAGCCTGTGGCCCCCAGCGTGGCAAGTGTCATATTCTGGCGCACATGAGGCTGATTTCAGATGACAAGATGGGAACAGCCCTTCATTTGAGGCACAGTAAGACACGGGGAGATTAAATAAAACTGTGCACTCTTCTAGAAAACTTTATTGCTTCCAGATGGATACAAGCTTCCTCTCAGCAGCGCTCCGGCAAAGGCGAGACGCGGGGGGCCCGACATCATGTCATGATGCAACTAATGTATGGACAAAAAGAATCAATTCTACACCGGGAGTGATTTGAGCTGCTAGACTTTGTTACAGTGAGATTTCAATATGCATGTTGTCTGATGCATATGTATTGATTTTATTAGTGGTGCTTGAAGCATCACCTTTAGCATTGCTCATACTTAAGATTAGTGACAAAAACCTAACTGTAAACTTCATGATCAACTCATCCCATATGTGATTCAGACATAAATGAAACCTGCAGCCAGTTGAGGAGGAGTGTGTTGTTACTTTTCTAAGTGATTAGACTAACAATTGT